ATTGTTTCAGTGGATTGATATAAACACTGACTCACATGAGCCGATGATTACACTGTTTATGGAACACACATGCTCGTGCTCGTTTCCCTCATTAATCCCATTAGGAGCTTCGGGGAGAAGAGCAGATTCATTCGCATACTTCTGACACACACGCACCCTCAAGTGGTGGCATTTTCGCAAGATGGTAGTGTTTTTCCTGAGGAAATGTCAGACAGGGAATGGAAGTTGTTTATCAGAGGTCCCCTTGCTTGGGTTACATCCCTGGCTATAAACACAGCGCTGAATAAACCAGCAGTGTGTGTCACTCTGAAATATTCCACTGCTGCCTTGTTCTCCTCCAAGTAAGGTAACAATTATTTCCCAGAAACGGAGAGAAAAGATTTAGATCCCAGGAAAAAAAAAAAAAAAAAAAAAAAGGAAGAGAGAGACAAACTTCAGAGACTGATCAGAGATATGAACCACACACACACTTACCCAAATCTACAAAACAACCTGGAGGCATGCAATGTGCATCCAGAACTCACCGTGTCCCTGAAGCCATCATATTTGTAGACGTGTCCCGTGCTGGTGCCAAGTTTGATGCCATGGCCTAAGCACACCCGCCTCCACTGGGCCAAATTGAGCTCGCTGGCAGGGATGCTATCCACCTTCCCCGTCTTGCTGCTCTTATAAACCACATTCTGCTTGCTGAAACGCAGCCGTCCGTCATTCTGCAGCGAGATATTGAAAAATGAAAAACTCAAATATTTTATACATAAACTAAAAAACACTGGTTACAGCTTTCCAAATGGGAGCTTGCTCACATCATAACATTTATTTTTTAAGTTTGATGATTAGTTTAGATTTAGATTAATTTACAAAACCAAAATCCAGATCTTCTTATTGTTTCCGTACTCGTGGGCATGGATACCCTCTTTACAATAGTGATTTTACAAGAAAAAAAAAAAAGAAGAGTAAATGTCTTTTCAGCAAAACAAAAATTCCACAGCTGAGCCGATGACAGTTTCATTTTTTTTTTCACACTCATGGCTAAGAGTCAATGCTAACAGCATTTAAAGGCATCTTATTTTTACTAGGTTGTGTAATGATACAATAATACAGTGCCATAGAAAATAATTTTCCCTGTTTCTGACTTCTTAGTATTTTGTCACATGTTTCAGATCACCAAATTGTAACATAAGATTAAAAAAAAAACATAACCCAAGGAAAGACAAAATGCAATTTTTAAAATGATGATTTTAATTATTAAGAAAAACAAACAAAAAACTAAAATATCCAAACATATCTGGCACATCGTAAATCATGAATTAACTGCGATTAACCACATTTTTTGGAGAGCTGAGTTCAATGCCACACCAAGGCCTGATTACTGCCAGACCTGTTTACTTAAGAAATCACTTAAATAAAACCTGTCTGACAAATCGTAGTTGCCTAAAAGATCCAAAAAGCAACACATCATGCTACAGTGAACAGATGAGAAACGAAGTAACTGACATCTATAAGTCTGAAAAGGCTTATGAAGTCATTTTAAGGCTTTGGGACTCCAGTGAATTACAGTGAGAGCCATTATCTACAAATGGAGAAAATCTGGAACAGTGTTGAACCTTCCCAGGTGTGGTTGGACTATAAAAATTACTCCTAAAGTGCATCAATGACCCATCTAGTAGGTCACAAAAGAACACCCAGAGCATCATCTAAAGAATTGCAGGCCTCACTTGGCTCAGTTAAGGTCAGAATTCATGACTGAACAATAAAAAAAGAAAAGAAAAAAAGAGACAAAAATGGCATCCTTGGGAGCGTTACAGGGTGAAAACCACTGTTGACCAAAAAGAAAACAAAGGCTCCTCTCACGTTCGCCAAAAACATCTTGATAATCCCCCAAGACTTTTAGGAAAATATTCGGTGGATTGACCACACAAAGGCTACCCTTTTTCACTTTTTACCAGAGACTCCTTAAGGAGAATGCCCATCTAAAACAGCACATTTGTGACTGAAAACCTTCCAGTGTGGCAGATAAAACAATACTGCACAATTATTGCTCCCAAGCAGGGCACAACCAGTTATTAGGTTTAGGAGGTAATTGAACCAGGGCCAGGCAGGTTTGGGTGGCTTTGTTTCCCTTAATAAATGAAATCCTCATTTTAAAAACTGCATTTTATTTTAAATTTACTCAGGTTATCTTTCTCTAATATTGACATCTGTTTGAAGATTTGAAAAATCTGAGTGACACAAATAGGCAAAAAACTAAACAAAACAAGAAATCAGAACTGCAATTAAGAGCACAGGAGCTGATGTTTGTCTGCGATGCCACTTCAAAAGAGACTGTAATGAAGACCTGAAAGAATTTGAGAGCAGAGCTGCTGGGTGAAGATACTTACCCAGGAGCCTTTAACCTCCTGGTAGATCTCGTTGAACTCCAGTGTGTCTCCCATTTTGGCTACAGGCGATGACTGATGCTCTACAGACAGACAGAGACGGAAGAAACGGCACTAAATACAACCAAACATCTACAACGAGGCTTATGTCACGCCTGGCTTTAAAACCATTCCCAGATTGTGGCAAGGTGGGGTCTGCATTTTGTTGTTGCTCCTCACGGTGGGAAAGTAGTGTGGTGTTGATGAAAACATGAGCAAGCACGCAGCGACTGAGCCAAAACACCCGAGAGGCAGAAAGCAGCCATCCTGTGAGTGTGCAAACTGTAAAAGCAGCTTCGTGTTGAATTTGGGTCTTTTCGTGTTATTTAATATTTCCGTTTATTAGTGTTTAAAAAACTGAGTGAAGTTCTGAGCCAGCTAACAGCTAACTATGAACAATTAAAAGAAAGCTCTGCCCGGCGAAAGTTTACGAATATCGTTATCTTATGGCGTGAATGTGTCAGCGACAGTTGGGTCTTTGTGTTTCTCGAAGCAACCCTTAACTATCATCCATGCTGCGCCACTAACAATAGCTAGGCTAACTTCAATGGCACAGGGTACGCTTCTTTTATACAAAGATGTGGGACAGTTTCCAACTGAATCCTCAAATTGAATACGGCACGCGCTAGAACGCCGCCCGCTCGGGCTGGTCCTAAGTTAAAATCCAGCGCTCCATCAGCACTAGGCCGGTAAAAAGAAATCATGTAAATATTTGGGGTTATTGTAACAAACGACGTCACTCAAAGTAATTAATTGTGCGCCACGCACTCCCTCGTTGCTTATACATATCAAAAAATTAATTTCTATAGAAGCGAGAATGCAGAGTTTAAAAAAAATCAGGTCTTACTGTGACAGTGCTCAGCAGCTTCGCCTGTTTTCCCGCGTGTAGCATCGGGAGCTAGTCACAGGAAACACTTATACGGTGGCTCGTATTTGCTTCCGGTTTTGAGACGTTACCCCCTTCTTCCTTTGAATCACTGAGGTGTTTGGTGGGTAGTAAATTACAAGGATTTGAAGTGGTTTGAAAGCTGAGGTCTGTGTGAAACTTGGACAATAAAACAAAAAAGCCCAAAAACATTTTGTTACGGAGTCTGCGCAGGACAGAATGCGTTGCAGTAACCGCTCATCACCACTGGGTGGCACAGAGCACAGGTAATGAAGCTAGTATGGCAGCCTTTACTTAGTGCCAAAAGGTTTAATAACATAGTATTAAACACAAACTATAACAATACTGATGGGTTTATTTTTTAATAAATTACAAAAAAGAGTCAAATAGGAATATTGCATCATTCTAAATAGTTATTTAGACTCTTATAATACGACATATGGACAGAGATAGGAAGGCCCCGGATCAAATAGGCTAGTACGCATGGTCCAACAAACCTTATTGAAAACCTTAAGGCAAAAGGCACAGTTTGGCCTTTATTTCGTTTTAAATCAATTTAAGAAAATGCAACATAAGGCAACCAAACAGAAATCGGCCAAATAAATGAACCCTCTTCCCCTTCAAAACAGGGCCTCGGCAGGCCTGAATTAAATCGGGGCGCATTTAAGGCCCTTATCGTTTGAGGTGAGTTTAAAAGTGCATTTTCACATTCTCACACACACACACACACACACTCTCTCTCCCTACATCAGCACACGAGGCTGAAACAAACCGCCGAAGCTTTTGGCAAAGTCCTTGAGGACCCCCTCCTCCGTCTCCTCCACCTTAATCCAGCCTTGAGGATACACTGTCAGTCCGTATAACTAGACTACTTTATTCAACCACATGAACCGGTGGGCCTGACGGATTTTGGAATATCTCAGCGATTACGAAAGAATTTTACTTGGATCCGGGACAAATAAGAGTATCAGCAGCGGTGCTTCGGGGCGCGATACGGTGCTGCATGCCACGGGCTGATGTTCTGGCTGGCACGCTGAGTGACAGCTGGAGGTGAGAGAAGAAGATCCAGAATAATCTCACTGTCAATAAAAAACTAAGAGCTGAGGAATGGAGGGAGAAGAAAAGAAGCGCGGGACAAGCAAGCAAACACTTGCCTTCATTCTCCCGCAAAGAAACAGAAAGGAAAAAAAACAAAACAGGCGTAATGTTTTTAGACGCAATTATTTCCTTTATTATTTGCGCCCCAGTTTAATTAAAATACAGCCTTGAATTTTTTTGTTATGTTATTTCACTTTATTTGAGATTTTTGTGCAATATTATTAGGCCTACTTTAAACGAATAGATTTAATGTACATTTTTAAACTAATTTGGTCTCTGCGTAAAGAGGACAAAAGAGAAAAAAAAACATTTCGACTGTTTGGTAATTTATTTTTTACTCCAAGTGGAAGCGTAAATGCTTAGTTAAATGAATAATGATAATTATTATTGTAATAAAAGGGAAAAAGAGAGAAAACATCTAATTCGTTCCGTATTTCCCGGACGATTTGAAGGTCACGCTGGCCTCAGCTGAACGGATCAAATCGGACTCGCACCTTGTTAAAAGGAAGCAGATTTAAGATCAAACGGCCGCGCTTACATCGGGTTCCCGAGGATGACGAGAGGAGAGAGAGGAAGAAATGAGTTGTGACAAGTCTCGTGGTTCAGCGGCTCTGTCAAGTTGAGCCGTGATGCGTCAACCCGGTGAATCACCACCATTTACTGAAGAGGAGGAGGCGGATAACGAAAGAAGAAGAAGGAGAAGAAGAGACAGGGATGTGAAGGAGGGGAGGAAATAAGTGGAAAGGGTAGAAAAAGAGGAGGAGGAGGTACAAAAAGGCTCCGCCGTCATTCTGTCTGTCGCACAGACCACACGCACCATAGTCAGCGGATCGTTAATATTTCAACTGAATGTAACAAATATTTCACTTTAAATGACTGGATCGGCATCACCTGTGTTTCACTTTATCTTCTCCTGAGCAGATTTTATTGAGCCGATTAGACGAAAAATAAGAAAAAGGTTTGCGGTTCTGTTTAATCTCCAAGAGGAGAGAGGAGATCATTATCGGGTTCTTTCTGCGCTTAGTGGATGAACTTCTGAGAGCGCACCGACGTGGATAAAAGGATTTGAGGAAAATGAGGAGATTCTGCGGAGGTAAGACCATGAATCTAAAACCTTTTATGGAGGGATGATGGGAAAAAGAAAAACTTTGTTGCCAGACAGAGTAAAATTACAGTGGAATTAAGTGGAATTTCCTTTTTTAAAAACATTTCTTTCTTTTACACTTAAACGTTTGCTTTATTATTTAATAATTTGTTTTGCCTTGCATCTTCAATCATGATTAAAAGTTGTGGCAAAAGCGCCGAGTTTGGATATTTTAGTGCGTAATCCCCGCAAATATGATCCTTTCCTGTGTAGCCTAAGGGTTTAACATGCGCACGTTTCTTCCACTTAAAACCAAACATCAAATTATCCCAAATATCAAAACAGTTTTTTTTATAATACTGGAAAGAAATCACATAATTTAATTTTTTAATATTTATTTTTCTTGTTGTTATTTTAAATATAAAATGAATTTAAAGGTTGTTGTGAGTCATCTCTTCACATTTGGAAATTACTGGTGAAGGAGCACACGTGGGTTTAGTGGTCCATCATCCAATTCTCTGAGGGTTATCAGAAAAAAACAAACAAACACAGTAAAAAAAAAAAAAGGATGGCAATATGAATGGAGCGAAAATATAGGAAATGTAATTATAGGGTAATTTGGTGTTAAATATCCATGTGAGAGGGATGGCAGGAAGAGAGAAGGAAAAAAAGAGCGAGAAAGGCTGAAAAATGTCTGTGAGAGCGAAAGATGGATGGGGAGGGGTCTTATTCACAGTAAAAGGGAAAAAAATGACTCGGGTTGAGGGGGTCAGATGCAGCTAAAGCTCCTGTCTAGTTAACTGTCACTGATATGACAAAGTACATGATTCACGTTAGTCACACACACACACACACACACACACACACACACACACACACACACACACACACACACACACACACACACACACTTTCCCCTGGGACCACTGGTGCGGCTGCTGCTCCATGTCTAGGAGACGAAGGGAAGAGGAGAAGTGAAAGAAGAAGGAAAGATAAGCAGCTACTGAAGGATGGCCCATGACGAAATGATGCTCTCTGTCCCGTCTTGAGTCTCATGTCAGGTATAGTGTAACTTTAGAAGGACAATAAACAGAAAGCTGACTACAGAACAAACCAATACTTGGAGCAAATAAATACACAGAAAGCTCGGCTGTCTTTGTCTCTCTCACACACACACACACACACACACACACACACTTTGAATTTATCTTGTCACAGATGCACAGATACACGCTTTTCCTCATCACTGTCTGACTTTTGCGTACACACACGCAGACAAAGACTTTTATTGCCCCAAGGCTTGAATTAGTGTCAGTGTGTTTCAGATAAAAGCTTTAGTATGTGCTGGACCCATTAACTCCAAAATGCTGGTTAAAAAGGACAAAACAAAGTCAGGGTGAAAAGAAAGAGAGGTAGGGATAAATGGAGAGAGAGAAGAGGAGGTGGAAAACAGGATAAAGTGAGCCTTTCACATCTTTTTATTCGCTGCAGCGCCATCCCCAATTCTTCACGGTATACGTGAACGTCAGGAAGATGTGTGTGGAGGGGGAGAGAGACAGATAAAAGTAAATAGAGAAGGAGAGAGGGAGAAGGAGGAACTGGCGGTAGAGGGGTTAATGCAGTGCAGATTGACAGAAGTTAGCAGCACCCAGAGGGAAAGAGAGCGGAGAGAGCAGGGGGGGACTGATATAAAATGAGTCGGTCACGCTTTGAACAGTTACACATGCTGTTTACATTTTTCCCAAATTAACATGGCCCCTCGCTTCACAAAACTCTCCCTCACCGGCTCCCTCGTGCTCCCCTCCACCGACCCCTTTTCCTCTTCCTCCTCTTCTTTCCCTCCGTCTATCCTTCAAGGCTCCAAAATATCTTCCTCACTTCCAGAAAAAAAAAAATTGCAGTAAAACAAACAAACAAAAAAAATCTGTCTTTTATATCCTATTAAAGTAACCAATCGCCGAGTTTTAGTGTATGTGTAGCCAGTATTTTAAAGTTACAGCGGTTCTTTTAGGTTTTTGTCACATTGAGCGACTATTTAACAATGCGTCGTATAAGAGAAACGCATAAACACTTCAGCTGGAGTGAGTAATGCGCAAGGGAAGCCGAAGAATGCATATAACTGAGTAAAAGGTTCTTGACAAAGTGGCGTAAATTGGTGAATTTACACAGGAGCATACACACAGACACACAAACCCAGATGATACAAGAGTCAAACTGCTCAGAGCACAAGCGATAATGATAAGGACCCGTATTCCACCAGCACATGGGTGTTTCTTTAAAGAGAATCGGTGTATGAATCTAAAAGATAATATATAGGGACAGTTGTCGAATGGATAAATTAAAAGGTTGACCCTAAGCTGACCTTAAGGGTATAGAAAGTGTATAGAGGCACTTTCAGGAGGTCTGTTATCGACAGTTGTGCCTTTTAATCTGTTAGTTATCTTCCGAAAGACGAAGGTAAGGACTGTAAATCCCTTGTTTTGCCGCTATTATTTTCCCTCTCCTGTGAGATGATAAAAAGCGGTGAAGCTGAAGAATTTAAGAAGCTGGAAGTAGAGAATATTTAGCATTTTTTCCTTTGTATTCCCAATCCTTTTATACTCTTCAGTGCTACCTCGTATTTCGATAAACAGCTCCGTATTTCCCACCTCTGCTCTTCGGCTTTCCATCAAGGCCGTAGAGGAGCAGGGGAGTCTCGATTCGGCAGCGGATTCTCATCTGATTCTGTTTACGGGGTGTTTTTCTAAGCAAAATCTGTGAGTTTGGGGATGGCAAGGGGTGGGGGTTCGAAGTAAATTAAAAACTGAAGGTCTGACAAAAAAAGAGGGAGGGAATGAGAGATGTTGATGGAGGGAACGAGTGGAGCCAATTAGTGAAAGGAAGAGAAGGGAAAGGTAATTAGGGATAGAAAGGAAGGAGACTTTAAAATGGAAGTTTGATGTTTCAGAGAGATTTAAGGAGAGAGTGGTGGAGATGAAGCGACAAAGAAATTTAAACCAAAAATGGCGATAAAGCATGGAGCCACTGGAATCCAGTGATATAAAAAAAATAGGAGAGGGGTAGATTGGCTTATAAGGAGAAGAAGGAGACAGACAATGAGGCGAGAAGCGCAGCCGAGCAGAAGATGTTGAGTTTACAAATTGCGAGAAATGGTTGCAAAGAGAGATTCTGGGCATGAACATGATTTTTATTGGATTTTTTTAATGTGTGTTTTCTTTTGCCTTTGTTTTGGGGGTCATTGATGTTGTTTGGCAACCCCAGAGTGTGTCCAGTGCCAAGAGGATCAATTTGAAATTCACCATGAACAAACTCCAGAGGAAGGAATCTCATGAGGGAAGGGATGGGAAAAGTTTGCACATGTGTGTGTGTGCTTGACTATGAAAAGGTTTGTTTATATGTATTTCTCTGTATAACGCCTGTGCATGCACGGATCTACACTCCAGTGTGCAGTCTTTATACATGTGTGTGTGTTGAGTTAGTGAAGGAATGCACATTTGATTGAGTACAGACTGCACATAAATCTGGCCTTTAACTGTACACAGATAGACAAAACTGACCCTGACCCCAGAATGTCAACCTTCTGTCCATCTGGCCTGTGTTCCCCCCATCCTTTATATCAGTAAGGCGATGCATGGCTTTCCCCCTGGCATCCACTGGTGTGTTTATGTTTTTTTTGTATATGTGTGGCTGAGGACAAAATTGCCACCAGGTACAGTGCAGCCGAATAGTTTAAAACAATGGAAAAAGCAAACAGCTCTCTGATTTTTGGCTCGGATGCTTCCTTTCTGTCATCAGAGCCACATTGAGGCTCCAGCTCAGCCTCTGCCACGTTAGCTGGAAGACAACAAGCGTACAAGACAAGGCAGAGGATCCGTTTTTCATTTAGTGGCTCCAGGATGTGGATTTCAGTGAGCACATATCGATAATTTGTGAACTTGTTGATGTTGGCAGTGACGCCCACGCTCACAGTGTCTGATGAGGGCTGTAAGACTGAGCTGGAGCTTGAATTTGTTCTGCATTCATATAATGTCGGCAGGCTGGGATGGACAGGAAACGCTGGGGGCGGCTGCGGCTCAGGAGGTAGAGCCGGTCGTCCTAATAAGAAGGGAAAGAAACGTTTCTTGGGAAAGATACCCATCCCCAATTTGATGCATCCATCTGTGTTTGAGCTCGACGAAGTGCTTAAAGTTAATAGAGTAAAGTGTATGAATGGGTGAATGTGGCTTTTAGTATAAGCGCGCATAGAAGAGGTCGGTAAGGCTAGAATAGCTTTTACTATTTGTTCCATTTTTGCATTCCATTATTTTATTATGTTTTTGTGGTGTTATTATTTGTAGTGCTGTCCTAACAAATGGAAACAGTATGATTTTAGTTTACTTTTGCTTAATTAATTCTATTAGTGTTCGTATTAGGATTATTTAGAAGTCCCTGCCAATGGAGGAATTACATCTAAGCAATTGTTCCCAGATGTTAGCGGACTATGTTGTTGTTGTTTTTTTGAGCTGTCAAAAGTTTCTGATATCTCTGACTCAGAATCACAATCATTGGCTCACATGAATAGTATTTGCAGGGTCTGCTGCCTGGTCTGATCATGACGTGAGTCCGGTCATTTTAGCAAATATTGAACAGATTATATCGAGATATCTTTCTTAAAGTCTGGAGAGAAAAAAAGCATACTAAAAATCAGTCACGGAGCTGAAATATAACCTCAATATTCCAATCACGGATTGCAGCAAAGTGGAAAATATCTGGAAACATCAGTTATTTCTGTCCCTAGTGATGTTTGATATTGTCCTCTGGTGGAGTAGAGGAATTCTTCACAGCGACTAGATACAAATAATGTGTGACGAGTGAGGAAATTAGCATCCATCTCTGGATTTTGGTTCAGGAAAACATGGCTTGGGTTTGCAAAAGGTTAAATCTTGTACTGTACACACAGCACTTATATGTATGTATGCACATGACAACATCCGATCCTATCCAATCAGCATTACACAGGAAATAATAAACATCATGAATCTAGAGCTGATTTACAACATCTTCCATGTACTTAGGTTTCATCTCTGTTTCAGACCTCTTTCAAGTGGTTAGAGCGATGGAGGGCAACCTTTTTTGGCACCCGAGTGAGTTTTTCCTGGACCAGACCGGAGAGATTTTCTTGCACATGGTTTTCCCACAATACCAAATTCTGTTTAAGTGCTTGTTTAAAACCTCAAATGGTGATGCATGCTGGGAAAGATGAAATACCAGTCCTCTCAGATGGAAGCGACACAACACCCACAAACACTGGGTCACTGGTTTACCAAAACAGCGTCTGGAGTGTAAAATGTCAAATGTCCTTTTATCCTTGAACACATCCTTGCGCCCTAACATTCAACTCTGAACCCTGACCCCGTGTTGGTGTTTAATTCTGAACTATCTGGAGCGCACAAGCTCTGCTGCCAGAACCTCACGTTCAGCTCTGCTCTGCAGATGGCAACCAGACTCCAGAGCGCCAGAACTGACTTTACACCGGCAAACAAACTGAAGATAAAAAATATGATCTGTTGCAAATAAAGGAGCCCCCCCCAACCCACCTCACCCCATGTGTGCATATGTGTAACTCTAATAGGTACACGTGTGTAGACTCACACAAACAACTGCGTGGAAGCAGGTCACGGTCGGCCGTTGTAGGGAACTCCTGTGTTGCTGTAATGCAATCCTCCCATGGAGAATGTTCTGGTTTCAACCCTGCCCTGCGGAGTGTGCTTCCACTGCCAGGTACACAGACACAGCCCCAAGCCTACAGGGCTCGCCTTGAAGTCAGGCTATATGCCGACTATACTGCCGTTACTCAATCTAATATTATATAACGACAACATGGCTTTCGGTTTGAGTTATCTGAGTTTACTTGTACAAAAGAGCGGTTGTTTTTAGCGGCAGCAGAGGCCGCTTTAAGACATGTCAGTGCTCAATCAAAACAACAAGAGCCTTTCACGTCTGGCAATCATCTCCAAGCATGTGGCTGCAGACAAAAGGAAACGGTTTGGAACAGTTTGGGTTGATTTTTGCCAAGAAGATTTTTCCTCCTTCGTCCCAGACTCCTTTTTTCGGTACCTGTTTATTCCCTTTGAAAATGACCCCTCACTGCACACTGTGAGCCCTTGTTTTCTTCAAGCTTGTTTACTTCAAGAGTCAACAATGTTGTGTTGGTTTCGGGGTGTTTTGATGCTAATGGGGGATGTTCAGTGGGAGGAGCCAGCTGCTTGATGAGCTCCAAATGTTTAGCCGTTGCTGAAAGATGCTTAGTGCCTCTGACAGGTGACGAGGAGTGAGGAGGAGGCTTGGCTGAGAAGGGTTGCCCTGGATGACTAACTTCAAGGTGTGTGTGGGAGTTGCCATGGGCTCAGAAAATAGTCTGGGAAAATGCCTTGATGTAGTCGGCAACTTGGGGGTCAACGGGTAGGGGAAGAGTCACCTGGTGTGAAAGAGTCTTGTTTAATCAAGCAGTTAGGGCGTTGTTTGCTTAGATTTTGCCCTGTCACTCAAAGCATGACACACATTTTTAATCCTGTTTTAATTTGAAACTGTCTGTCATCTGCTATTAAGTGAGGCTATAGTAGAAGCAGTTGCCATGTCACAGTGCTTTTTTAAAAATGAATCAAATTAAGTAACATAATTAATCCTACTTGTTGCTGTATTCTAGTGGTTTGTTTTTGTTTCCGATTTTTGGGTGAGTCATAACTAATCACCTACTTATTATAGAGAGCTAAATCTCTTCCTCAGTGCAGTTATTTCTGGGATGCTTTTGCATATCACTCAGTTTCAACCCAACCCTGTGTGGGAGTGCATACTGATATGGCAAATATGGTGAGTCAGAGAAGGAAAAAAAGGTGTTGACTATTTAAAACCGAAATCATTTATTTATTTATTCTATTTTATTTATACCCAAGTGAACGCTAGGGGTAAATGTTCTGCAGGGTGTTGAAGCAATTCCCTCAATTCTCAAGTCTCATATTAGTCCTGTGGGGCCCCCGTAGTGAAATATCAAAGGGAGAGAGAAAAGGGAAATTGAGGAGCAGGCGAGCTAATCAGGGTTAATTGTCTGCTGTTATTCCGACCTAAGGCATGCGAGAGATAAGATCGCTGAGAGGAGAAAATGAGGATAAAGGTATGACAAGGAAGATAGGAACGCTGGAGAAGAGTGTGACTAATCTAGAAGCAGAAAGGGATTGCACTGGTCAAACAACAGGAGGCTTGAGGTGTGTCTAAGACAGAGGAGATTGAGCATAAGAGAGAAAGCGGACGCACACATGAACACACACACACACACACATTGTGCAATGCATATTTCACACCTGTTGAGCAGCAGCACGGTTTTCCCATAATTACAAGCATGAATCACGGCCTGCCGTCCGGGTGTCAGGAGGATGGAGGGGGGGGAGAGGATGATGGAGAGCAGAAATGAAAAGAGGAAATGTTTGCAGGGCTCCAATGAAAGGCTGAAGCAGTGCTGAGAGAGTGAGTTAGCGAGCAAAGGAGAAAGTGTGAAAGTGTCCAGAGAGAGAGCGCATGGGACGCAGAGAAGTGGACGTACATGAAGTTCCTTAATGTTGAAAATCACCTTTCAGCTCCAATTTTCCAATTTTCTCAGTTTGAAACCAGAGACAGGGGCACTGAAAGGTTTCCGCTCTTACAAATACACTGCCGCCCCCCCCCCCCCTCTCTCTCTCACACACACACACACACACACACACACACACACACACACACACACACACACACACACACACAATCATTGTATACACTCTCAGCAATGCGAATTTAATCCACATATATAATTACGGCTACAAACATTCTCACAAACACTCACACAGTAACATGAAACACCTACACAAACACTCTGAAACCTAAACAAGAAGTCCACAGCAAACATACAACCCATACAAACACATTAATGTTTGTGATTGTAAAGAAAGCCACATGCCTTTGTTTTCGGGGTTATCGGTCAGGAATGAACGCGTGTGTGCGAGAGTGTGTGCATGTTCAGGCGACTGCTGTCCTGACAGACTGCTGCATTGAACATAGGAGCCATTTGTCTGACTGTCTGAAGCTATTAAACAAGGTTTTATTTGAAGCCAGAGTAAACCTCCGACAGCCAGAAACCTCTAAAATTAGATTGGAAACGGAAAAAGCTTTATTGGCAGTGTCAGATGACTCTGACCTGGCAAAATGTAAACAGACAAGGCCATCGTCATAGAGACAAAGGAATAAACTGGAATATTGTAAAAAAAATTCCTATAAACAGTGTGATGCGACCGGAGAAAAGCTAGGAAACTGTTGCTGGAGGTGATTTTCTTTTTTTCTGTTTTTTTTTTGCTTGTTGAGCTCCCTATCATCAAAATTCATTTAAAAACTCATCATCCAAGTTAAATAATGACAACACGTCTTAGAAAATAAATTTCACCTCTCTGTTTTTACGGCAAATACCTCTACAGCGTGAGCTATTTAACGCTTGGACACCCAAGACGTGAAAGTCATTAAAGACACATCTCACAGTGTTTTCTTTGTTTCTCCATAGTCGAGCACCAGCTCGTCTTGCTATTGGCCGCTGCCATGGCCACCGCCGGGGATGCTCTCCACAACCTGGCCAGCGAGAGGAGTTCAATACAGAGCACCTATGAGCTCACCAAGTACCTGGAGTATCAGCTGAAAGAGATCAAAGACGTATATGTGAGTAGTTTTGTGATATGTTCAGTCTTTTACCAAAATGTCTGCATCAGAGAAAAAAAGTAAATAATTTTCATATAGGAATGCATATGCATGAAATACACAGGAATAAATGAGAATGCTTAAGCAAAACAGCTCAAAACTCACAAATGCACTATTTATCATAAGAATGTATTTAACAGTGACGATGAATATGATCCTTCACAACAATGAAAACGATAGATAGTTAGTGAACATCTAACAGATAAAGAGCCACATATCTGTTATGGTTCCTTATGAAATTATGGTGAAATTACATGTCATTAAACAGGCATTTTAGCCATTTGCAGTAACTTGCTTGCAGTTAATGTTCATATTCACACTGTGGACGTTTGTGTAGTTAACAACTGAAACTACACACAATTTTTGGCCAGAAAGTCCAGAAAGTCCTCAATATGGACAAAAACACTGGGCCAACTACACATTACATCAACAGAAGCAACTCAGGCTATGGAAACTGATGCCATGAAGCACCAGGTGCACAATTTTTGTACTGATTTTAATGTCAGAGGAGATTCAGAGCTCTGCATTTATTTACTCAGCAGAGCTTTGGTGACTTTTACATGTGATCCGCCTCATCACTTGGACATCCCCCTCTGTAACGTCACCTGTGGTAATGGGACTAAACACCCGTCAATTCAAAGATTAAGAGCTGTGGCTAAATGCTTTTGCCCACAGAGTGTATAAGGCAAGGACTAGTTCCCAAAGGGAAGCCTGATGGATGTTATATAGATAGCCACAGATGGCATTTCTCCACTTTCCCATGAATAAAGGAGTATTTCTTTTCTTATACTTGTAAACAAGTACAGCTCTTTGCAATAAATTAAACTGATTGACATTTAGCTGACATGTGGCTTTTTGGTAATATATTATAATGTCTTTCTCTCAGCAAAATAATTAATGAAGTAGCTTTTTCTTTTTACCAGTTTCTCCCTCGGGCGATTTTGCTAGCTGAGCTGCTCCCTGTGTGAATTAAATTTTTGGTTTGTAAACCACTTCAAAGTAACTTTCCCAACACTGCCAGGCCAAAGATAAGAAAAATAATAAACGTAACAGATAATGAGAACTGGGAACAGTAGCTTATTTTGAGTTTAGTTTTAAAATGGCTACAGTTGGGGTATATCTAAGCTCCGTGGGGAGCTGATTCCAGCTGTGGGCAGCAGGATGGCTAAAAGCCATTTCACCATGTTTGGTTTGAGTTGACCAATCCCTGCAGACTTGAGAGACCGTGCAGGCTTGTGCTCAGTAAACATATTTGTGATATTTTTTGGACAACACATTGGGACTTAAGGTGAATTCTATATTTAATTGACAAACAGTGCAAGGATACAAGAAACTGGAGTTATGTGTGATCTTGTTGGTGTATCTCTGTTACATTTTGAAGACTGTCTAACATATACTACAGCAGTACACCTGACAAGAAAACAGAGCATGAAGGAGCTTTAATGCATTTCCCTCCTTTTTATTGCCAAACATAATTACATCTGTCTTCATGTAGTTGAAGGATGTTTTATTGCATTCAGTTGTTTACCTTCTCATGGTACATGGTACATGGCACGTTTGTGTGACTAGTCATATGGTGAGATTGAAGCAACCCTGTTGGACTCTATACATCATGGCGACCCCTTCATATTCATCATTATTAATACTAACTCTATACCCTGCTTTTTAAATATGATCTTGACTAACTAAAGAACACTCCTGAAAGCACTTCCCACTACTTCTGTCTATATAGATGTAATTCCTGATGAACAGCATCAGATCCAAAAATAAGATCTAAGTAAAGTGATCTATCTAGGGTGTACCCCTCCTCTCGCCCTATGGTAGCTGGGACCAGCCCCCCCCCCCCCCCCAACCACCACCCTGACCCTGAAAAGCATCAGCAGAAGAGAATAGATGGATGTTATAGGCAGATAGTAGTGCAGGCGGATGTGGCTGAGGAGGCAGAACGGGTTTTCTACTCATTGGAGGCTTAGTGGTTCAATCCCCAATTTAATTCTGCATATTGAAGTACTCTTGAATTTGTAAAAACACTTCTTTACTTGTTTTCTGACTCCTGAATGCTGACAGGACTGCAGCTGAAAGTCAAAAACTGTCTTACATTATGTAGAAACACCTTAATTTAAGCAAGATGTTACTATAAAAAGGTTTGGGTATTTATATTAAACAATGAGGCAGTGATGCTGATAAGTCTATTAACTTGCATAGGGTGAATTTTACCAGCTTTCCTTTCTGGCTTTAAATGGGCTGCAATTATATCACACTTCTCCGACCCTAATGCGTGAAGCACTAGAGTGTATTAAGAACAGTGCTTTTTAATTCTACAGCGCTTTTAATATTATAGTTTTGTATTCATTGGTAGAATATGTCATTCTGCTGTAACTTTGTCTGCTTGTCACTGGACATGTGCCGCAGATGATGCCTCTCATATGCGAACAGGCTCATGAAGAACCATTTAGCAGAAAACCTCCTACATTTGAAGAAACACAACCAAAAAAAAAAAAAAAATCATGCTGGTTGTTTTTTTGCATGTTACTTGCTGAGATCTGGGACTTTGTCAAGACAAGAAACAGAAACTGCTATTTCAGATCAGACAGGTTTTTACTCAAACCCTCCGGTTAGCCGAACTATTTGGAAACTAATTTGGAGGAGAAAACAAAGCCAAACTGCAAAACAATTGTCAGTCCTCACAGTTTAGTGGGTGACTTTCCCGCTCAGCCTTTGTACAGTGTATTTGCATAAACTGTGCACTGTTTTTCTGTGTAGCACCATGGTATTCGCCTTCCTTTTAGTTAAAAAGAAGGCCCCCTAAAGCACTCAAATAGAGTGGCTCTTGACTTTTTTTTTCTCACCCTGACAAGTTTAGCTTTATAGCAGTGAAGATATTGAAATTGTTATGATGAATGATTGCCCAATTTGTAATAAACTATAATAAATCTTCTCCTTTCCTCTTCTCATTTGTCCTCCAGCTGACCTATCTTGGCCCTCCATTTAATGACAAAGACTTCTCCCCTCCGCGGCCCAACAGCACAGCTCTGACACTGCCGAGTGCTGCCACTCGAGTGGACCAGTGGCACCGCCTGGAGAACAAAGCACGACTGGCCCAGAACCAAAAGGCCTACTCTGTCCTTCTAGGAGCTGTCAGGGAGCTGGCCCGCTCAACCCTCTGCCCCTCACTCAAGACCTCCCTCCTGCACTTCTGCATGGGTCTGGATGGACTTCTGGGTTCAATATCTGCACTGATGACCGCGCTCGGTGACACAAATCCTACACAAACTCCAAACATGAGCGGTAACGCTGGTGAGCTGCAGTATTTGCAGACAGGGACAGGAGGTGGCCGACCAGCTCCGCTCATGAGCCAGAACCTGTACAGATCGAGAGCCGGATCTAGATCGGTGTCTGGTCAGCGTAGTGGCCAAAGAAGAAGTGGGGCAAAGTTAGTCAGAGGAGTTAAGGAAGATGGTGTCACTAAGGAGCTGACAGAAAAAAGAAGAGGAAAAGAGGCAAGGAGAGCAGAGGCAGCCAGAGGAAGGAGTAGCGGATCGAGGGAGAGGGCAAGGGGAGAAAGACGGAGAAGAGAGAAGAGGGAAGAGCCAGAGAGAGGAAATTGGGCAGCCAGTGCAAAAAACGCAGCAGGAAAGGAGGAAGAGGAGAGATGGGTGAGGAGGAGAAGGCTGTTAAGTATAGCTGAGGATGGAGAGGAACAGGAGAGGCAGTTCGAACCCGGGTTTGAAGTGTCATATGTGGACACAAAAGGCTTGGGATCTCTTCAACAACAAACAGAAAACCAACAAGGAACCAACGACCATCAATACAGCTACAATCTGAACGCACATCATCCAGACACGCTCAGAGCGGAGGATGGATTCATTCTAGAGGGGAGCAGAGGGTCAGAGGAAGAGGAGGACAAGCAAGCATACGCAGATGCTACCTCCTCTTCCTCCAGTGGATATCTGAAGCAGCGTCGGTCTCCTCGCTCCCTCCTCTCCCCGACTCTCGAACCTCCTCTGTCCACACTCTCCCTCCTCTACCAATTCGGAGCAGGCAAGGAGCACACCCTCCCCCCCCAGCCTGTCCCTCTATCTTTACAAAGGGGCACCTCCCTACTCTCGCCTCCCTTGAATCCGCTCTTCACCTCCTCCTACACCTCCGCCTCCTCTTCCTCCCCCTCATCTTCCCTGCTGCCGGCACGGACGACAATGAACGACTTTACCAGGAAGGTGGAGGGTTTCTGGATACTGCGAGAGCTTCAGAGCTGGCTGTGGCGATCGGCGAAGGACTTTAACTGCCTCAAGAAGAAGCTCCGAGGCTGAGGCACTGATAAGACTTACACGCACGCTCACAAACACACACAGACACACAAAAGTGCAGTATATCGGGAATTATTTGCACAAAATCTGAGTGGAATCAAACCGACGGATTTAACAGACAAAAGCACATAAACACATGCATTCATACCGTACTGGAATAAGTGAATGAAGGACTGTTTGGCAGGTCACCAGAAGTGCTAATGGAATATAAGACACACAAAGCCAACACATTACCAGCACTGTCACCCGCCTAATGCACATAGCTGCTCATTGAGTGAGACACACTGAGGCTGGGCTGAGTTACCGGACTTCACGGCTCATAGATCAACAGAAATACCACTGTAGGTGGTTAGACACACACATGCAGACGAGGGCAGACTGAGTGACAGGCGGTGAGACAGACAGTGCCTCCATTGAGTGAAAACTGATTCAGTGACCCCCAGATGTGTGAATCAGCAAACATTCATTTTCTCTAAAGGAAGAAGGGAAAAATTCTGAATGGGCAAAAGACAAAAGGGGAGGAAAAATGGCCGGAGGGATGATGGGGGCGCAGAGGAGGAGAGAAAGAGGCAGAAAAGGAGAGGAAGCTGAGTCAGTGGGATGACTCTGGAAATAACCAGCAGAGCGGTACTGCTGCGTAATCACAAGTCAACTGGTCAGTTACAGTAACCCTACAAGAGCGCTACACATACTGCCCGGACACATACGCACACACACACGCTATGTATTGTGGTGTTTCCTGCCTTAACACACCATTCACTTTTATCCCGTCAATTCAGCTCTTCACATATTTCACTTCACAGCAAGAGATGTTAATAACATTTGAGACAAAGCAAAGAAATACTTCCACACTACACTGCAGTGGAAAATATACTGTGTTGCTTCCTTACAGGAAGCTTGATGAGAACATCTAAACCACTGTCAGATTTGTACAATAATATGATTCTAGAGCCAGCCTTCAGTCAGCTTTCTTAAGCATAAAAACAGGGTAAAGAAATCTACTAACCTGCAACTCTAAGGCTCACATTTGAATACACATTTTTAATGTCTATTTTTTTAAGCCCAGGTAAATATGTAAAATCACCAAGTTGCAAACCAGCAAAGCCTACACGTGGTCTCAAAGTCTTGAATAAAATGTTGCATAACTTCAGCATCCATGTAATGCCACAAATTGTAATTTGTATATGTATTTTATATCAAACGAGACTTAATTTAGTGTCAACATTTTGTCCCTGTTCTCAACTTTCATTTATGCTTCTAATGTCTTGTCCCATAGCTATAGCAACTGATTGTGCTTTCTCAAACGCAAACAGAAAAAGACTTAAAAGTGGACCCATTATGCTTGTCTTTATTTTATTTTATTTATTTTCATACATGGATGTCTGTGCAAAAGTCTTGCACCACCCCTTACTTCTTTATATTTTGCTTCCAAGAACGCAGCTTTTGTGATTTTTATAGTGGTCTCAAGCTTCCTGGCTTTTTAAAGGTCTTTCAGATTTTTCCTTTGCACATTGGAGGAAGCTGAAGAAGTGGAGGATAAAAAAGAAGTGGTGGAAAGGCTAAAAACTAGAAGATAAACAGTCATGCCCTTAAGAAATAGATGAAATGAAGCAAAGACCCAACACAGGACCTGAGGGCTGCATCTAAAAAAAACACAACGTGAAACACTATCATGGATTGGCCTCCTCAGAGTCTGGACCTCAACATTACTGAAGCAGCGTGGGATCATCTCGACAGAGAACAGAACAAAAGTCAATCATGAATGTCCTTCAAGAAGCCTGGAGAACTATTCCTAAAGACAACTTAAAGAAATGACAAGAAAGCTTGTCAACAGAGTTCAGGCTGTGTTGAAAAACAAGGGCTGTCACACCAAACTAGAAAAGTATATAAAGAAATGAGGGGCGGCTCAAAACCTTTGCACATTACTGTCCAGTTTTAGACATTTTTTTCCTGTGATGTCAATGACGGCAGATATTCCTGTTCTGTTCAAACCTTCCATTTGCAAAAGGCATCCAATCAGAAGAAAATGGGCTTAAAGAAGAAAGGAGCTAAAACAGCTGGCTTCAAACTGCAGAGTCCAAATAAAATATGTACTTTTAAATGAGCATAATAGGTCCACCTTTTGAGTATCTGAGCTACAGATACAGGATTTTTTTTTTCAGAACTGGAGATATGGGCTTGGTTGTGTTTTTGCTACAGATTTCTGGTGACTGATTGTAGTGACAACATCGTGAAGCAAGTTGGAAAACTGCTCTGTAATCTCATTTTCAGTGCCAAAATGATGAACTTTTTTTCCCCTTAAACTTACTTTACATTCCTAAATACCAAAAAAGCAGACGTGGAGGTTAACAGATGGCTTTTTTTCCCCCAGAATAAATGTTATGTGTTTGCAATGTGCCTTAGATGATATGGCTAAAGGTTATGGATCATATCTATACTATTTATTGAACAAGATGTTTATTTATTTTTCTCCAGTGTGAAAATACTGTGTTGTAACTTGAGAGAGAATAAATACTAGCTTTTGTACAGAGCGCGGTGTTATTGGTCATTTGGGAGCCCGTTGGGAGAAGAGAATAAAGAAATGCATATGGGATTTTTGTTTGCAATGGTTTCAGTTTTATAGGGATGGTTTCGGGTGATTGGCACAAGGGGAGAGGAGTTTGGGGTCAGGGCGTTCCCTGAAAAACAAAGGCCGGCTCACATTCGTCGCAAAAAAAAGAAGAAGGAAGGAGTGAGAGAGGCAATGTATGAGAGTTTTTATTTGTCTGTCCGGGTGAAAATTTACGATCGTTTCCCGTTTTGCTTTCATCTCTCTCTTCCCACCTCCTTCTTTGATTTTTCCTTCTCATTACACTATCTCACGAAGCTCGTCTTCCCTCCAGAACAGCCCCTGACCTACGACATTGACTGATTTACATGAGCACAGGTACAAACACTACCCATAATCCAACCAGGGTCTCTTGTTGTGTCTGTGTTTGCCCCGTCTCTGTCACCAACTTTGCCTCTTATGTTTTTTTGGTTTGTTTTGTTTTTTGCATGGCCATTGTCTGCTGCCCACAGTCTCTCAGCCTTTTATTGCTTCTTCACCTGTTATCTTCTTTTTTTGTCTTTCTTGTTTGGCCTTATTGCTCTCAACTGCACTTTTTCTTTTCCCATGTATTTTGCTGTTCTGTGCCTCCCCTCAGGCCAGATATTAAAGGATCAATGAGAATCTCCCTTCCATCACCTCCAAGGTACACACCTGCACGTAACCGCACACTCCCCTCCCTGACACACACACATGCACGCACACAGTCACAAACACCCAAACGTGGACGAAAGTGCTGGCAAACAAGCGCACGCATGAGCCTCAAATCCAGAATTAGCTCACTAGGAAGTGACTTATATGGGAGGCTTACTGTGTCAACGCTGATGCATCATCGTCACGCACGCACTAAGAACTCTCGCTAAGAGTTAAAGGGTTAAAAGGCATGACACATATGTGTACACACACACATAAACACAAGGCGCCGTGTGTTTTTTTACAGTCAGTAAGCAGTGACCAAGCGGCTGCCAGCAGTCGACAAAGGCAGCTTTGTGGGGCCTATAAGTGTGTGCGTTTATCTGTGTGTGTGTGTGTGTGTGTGTGTGTGTGTGTGTGTGTGTGTGTGTGTGTGTGTGTGTGTGCCCCTGTGTGGGCTTGCAAGTGCAGCACGTGTGTGAATCATTATCTCTATGTGTCAGAACTTCGCTGGAATGAGGCTTGTCATGCATAGCTATCTAACAGCCATCACTCACTATCGTCTCTCTCTTTCTCTTTTCGCCGCTCTCTGCCTGTCAGCGATGCAGAGACAAATTGCTATAACTAATACATAACAGGATAGCCGAGCCCTGTTAGTATGACTCAGTTGGCAGGTCCTTCGACGTGAACAGATACTGAGTGACAAGGCATCGACATTATTGGCTTGTTTCATCTATCAGGCAGTTACTGCTCACACAGGCCTGTCTGTGTGACTGACAGAGCTGTGATCTAATACAGTGGAGGAGCTCAATTTTGGGCCATCTTTTTTGAAGAAGAAGTTGTTTTTATTTCCTCTTGGAGAGCTCTCCTTTTCTTTTCTTTTTGTTTGGTTTTCTGGTTTCATTGCTCCCTTTACTCCTTTGCACTCCAAGGAAAACCAAGCTTTTCCTCTCCTTTATCTCCGTTTTGAGTTCAAACGCCCCTGGTGGCTCGTATTTTTTTTTCCAGCCATTTACCATTTAGAGGGATTATCCGTGTATATAAGTTTGGAAATATCAATATCAATTTTCTCCCTCAAAGAATAGCAGGGTAATAGTAAAAGTCAAAACTCAAGCTTGTTTTGGCTCGGGGCCTTCATCAGGGTCACATGTTGACAAGCCAAGACACAATGATAGAGCAATAAAGTTGCTTCACCCACTCTATGAAGTGGGTGAAGCTGTGCCAGATTCCACTTTTCTGTAATAGCACTTTTTAAGTTCATTTGAAATATAACTAAAGGTACGTAACAAAAAGATGAATGAACAACTGAGATCTGAAATATATGACAAAATGTGTAAGTCATATGAAGAATTTCAGTTATCCGGCTGGGTGGGAACTTAAGGGCAGGGGTGTGAAATTCATTGTTGTTTTTGGGACACATGCAGCTTAGTTTGATTTTTAATGGCCAAACCACTGAAATCCAAAATAAATTTATCCCCCCTCCATTGTTTTGCTTTTATTTATTTGCTTTTACTATAAAGAAGTTTAGGTACAGCTTCAAAAAATTCACGTTTAATTTAAACCCTTTATAAAACTGACTCTGAACAACTTAAGTTGTCTCATGGCTCAGTCACACTGCATTAAAAATAGGAAAGCAACCTCTTTGTAACTAGAAAGACATCTGGTTGTCGTCCCAGTTATTGTATTGATTTTTTCACATTTGTTGGACCAACTTTCAATCAGAAGACCATTGCATGGGTCACCTGGCGGGAAGACAAATTGCCATTTTATTGCTGTCCTCAAACTTGCTTCAAGGACAGCAACCGCCTGTGACTGGTTGCAGACCTGGTCCCTACCTTGGAAGCAACCATTTCAAAAGCAAGAAGACCCCCTTGCAGTTGCTGTAGTTGCTGGTTGATTGCCAGGGTCACACATAGTTTCTCTGTTTCTGGTTTGTGTTGCAATTTTCACACTTTTGCTACTACTTGGAGAATACTTAGCGAGTGCAGATAAGTTGTTGTCTTCCAAACTACGGACTACTGAAGACATTTGCCAGTGTAGTATTGCAGACCTCTTTGTGACAAATTTTTCCGTGTGATTACCAGTCAGCGAATACACATTTTTCCCCAGTGACTGGTGGTCACGGGCGGGTTGCTGATCAGTCTTTAGGCCTGCGCAGTGTTGGGGAGTAACGGAATACATGTACCGCCGTTACGTATTTAAAATACAAAATATGAGTAACTGTATTCCGTTACAGTTACCGTTTAAAACGGTGGTATTTAGAATACAGTTACTTTGTTGAAATAATGCTGTTATTCCAGGCGGGGCGGCAGCGTTATGGGTGTCATGGTTGTCATGGTTACAGGGTGACGCTCTCTCTGGAGCTGTGTGTTTCCTGGGTGACAGAGCGCCTTTTTGTTGTTGTTGTTGTGCTAAGCTAATAGGCAGAATGCTACAGGCATAGCCCTAAAGAATTTAGCCTCATGGGCAGTGTAGTCCGTGCTGCAGGGAGAATGGACTGCCATACTCGTTATGTGTCTGTGAGCGCGAGGAGGAAGAAAAAGGAGAGTAGAAAAGTACGAGCTGTCATCGAGCAGAAACGGGAGCTGGAAGCATGTAAATATAATAATAACTACTGCAGCCAAGAAGAGTGCCTGACGAGCCCAGTTGTAAGTAAGCTACTAAGACTCGACTGTACACTGTGTTCATGTTTTCCTCCGAAACAATAAGTTCCGTTGGAGCAGCCTTTCAAAGCCTCTCTCTGCCTCTCGCTAGTAAAGTTGACCCAGACAACAAAGTAAAGCTAGTTTTCAGCTACGAGCCCGACACGAACCTGACGTATTAGCCAGAGGTCCTTTACTGCGTTCAGAGCCGCGGACCTCCCGTAATAGTAATAAATCACACAGCAATAGTACATTCATGTAGTTGTAAAAAGCATGATAATATATTAAGTAATCCAAAGTATTCAGAATACGTTACTGTCATTGAGTAACGTAACGGAATACGTTACAAAATACATTTTGGGGCATGTATTCTGTAATCTGTAGTGGAATACATTTTAAAAGTAACTTTCCCAACACTGGGCCTGTGTGAATGAGGCATAAGAAAAGTAAGTTGTCTCCGTTTTTTACCTTTTTAACCTTTTACCTCCTTACTTTGCAGTAGTATACCAGACAATATATAAAGAAAGAAAGGAGTGGGAAACAGTTTTTTTCTTTAAGGGCGACCGTCAATAATTTCTGGTGAAACATACAGCCCAGGATTTATGTCTTTCTTTGTCATTTTTTGCAAAGTCATCCAGTCGGCCATCTTTGGGAGTCCGATTCAGGCTCCCAGGCCACATGCTTGAAATCCCAGCTTAATGCAGAGTTAAACAGTTTCATTTGAAAATAACCTCCCTGCTGATGTGTGCCAAAGAAACGGGACTGCAGCAAAACAATGCAGGGTCACCCCAGAGGAGAAAAAAAGGTTGGATCAGGTCCAACTGCTGAGGTAAATAACGATGACGTCATCCACTA